TACCAGTAGGAATCGAAGCAATTTAAAGACTATTTATTTAAATACGTTAAGATAACTTAATTGGAAAAACTTGCAAATATCAGATAGGCTTAGGATTTAAATATGTGATGTTAGAAAATAATATCTTTAAAGGTAAAATGAAAAGAAAGAAAGATGTTAAGTGATTAAGTTAATTTTATGAGAAAATTGGTTTTGGAAAACTGTTACAATGAGATACACTGAAACTCAGCCAGGGGGATTTGAGGAAGTCACTTACAATGTTACTAAGATTGGATTAAGTACAGTTAAGATTTATGTATGTTTGTTTGTTTGCTTAAAAACTTTGGAAAATCAATTTTAAAAATTGAAAAAAAAGAGGAAGAGCGTAACCCGCAGCAGCGCATCTGTGCACGCGCAGGTTGCAATTCGCCGCTTCTGCGCATGCGTGTGACGTCATTTTGTGCTTCTGCGCATGTGGCGAAACCCGGAAGTAACCCTTTCCAGTACTTCCGTGTTGCCGCAGGACGTAACCTGAAAGAATGTAACATGAAGCAAACAAAACATGAGGTATGACTGTATTTCTTTCCCTGACTCCTCTTGCGCTCTCTCCCCTCAGGAGCTGTGCACCTCAGGCGGCTGACCGTCTCCCACAACGCCCTGGGCTCCTCTGCCCTGGAGCTGCTCCTGAAGAGCCTGCCCTCCGAGAATCTCACCCACCTGGACATCAGCTCCGTGGGCGCCAGGCCAGGGGACCAGCAGCCTCTGCAGGATGCCGTGGCCAGGTACCTGGCGCAGGTATGGTCAATCAGGTGCCAGCAGGGAGGCAAGCGTCCTGGGGGACCTCAGGCCTTCAGCCCAGCCAGCTGACCCCTTGTGCTCTGGTGAAAGACGGGAGGAGAAAGGAATGGCTCATGGGTAGGCAAACTAAGGCCCAGGGGCTGGATCCAGCCCAATTGCCTTCTCAATCCGGCCCACAGACGGTCCAGGAATCAGCGTGTTTTTACATGAGTTAGAATGTGTCCTTTTATTTAAAATGTATCTCTGGGTTATTTGTGGGGCATACGAATTCATTAATTTTCTTCTTCAAAATATAGTCTGGCCCCCACCACATGGTCTGAGGGACAGTGGACCGGACCACGGCTGAAAAAGTGTGCTGACCCCTGGTTTAGACCATGGGCTGGCAAACTAAGGTCCTGGGGCCAGATCCGGCCCAATCGCCTTCTAAATCCGGCCCACGTATGGTCCAGGAATCAGCATGTTTTTATATGAGTAGAATGTGTGCTTTTATATAAAATGCATCTCTGGGTTATTTGTGGGGCACAGGAATACGTTCATTTATTTATTTTTTTCAAAATATAGTCCAGCCCCTGATAAGGTTTGAGGGACAGTGGACCAAGCCCTCTGCTGAAAATGTTTGCTGACCCCTGGCCTGGCTTCTCCGCTGTGTGAGGAAACGATGGGACACGGTCTGAGTTTCCCCACCCAACTAGGTCTTGGAGAAGATCCCGACACTCGCACACCTTAATTTTCCGCATCCTTCTCTGTACAGGAAGGCTGTGCTCTCAACCACCTGGCTCTCTCTGGGAATCACCTCAACGATGACGCTGTTGCAGAGCTGGCTAGGTGGGTGGAGGGAATGTGGGTCCTGTGCTTTTTTTGAACCCTTTGGCAGGGGGTGGGTGTCTTCCACAGCAGGGAGGGTTAACCTTGGCCATATCTCTGGGCCTTCTTGACAGCGGCAAAGGGCTCCCTGCCTCCATTTTTGGTACTCTGAGCAAAACATTTCCCAGGTATGCTTTGATTAATTGAGGAAGCTCTTGTTTCTGACGGGAGGAGCTGTTTTGACACTTTGGAAGATGGTGGGTTTTAAATGGCTTGGATGGCCGACCATCAAGAGATTCCACTGTGCCACTGTATTCTGCTCTGGTCAGACCTCACCTGGAGTACTGTGTCCAGTTCTGGGCACCACAGTTCAAGAAGGACACTGACCAACTGGAACGTGTCCAGAGGAGGGCAACCAAAATGGCCAAAGGCCTGGAAACGATGCCTTATGAGGAACGGCTAAGGGAGCTGGGCATGTTTAGCCTGGAGAAGAGGAGGTTAAGGGGTGATATGATAGCCATGTTCAAATATATAAAAGGATGTCACATAGAGGAGGGAGAAAGGTTGTTTTCTGCTGCTCCAGAGAAGCGGACACGGAATAATGGATCCAAACTACAAGAAAGAAGATTCCACCTAAACATTAGGAAGAACTTCCTGACAGTAAGAGCTGTTTGACAGTGGAATTTGCTGCCAAGGAGTGTGGTGGAGTGTCCTTCATTGGAGGTCTTTAAGCAGAGGCTTGACAACCATATGTCAGGAGTGCTCTGATGGTGTTTCCTGCTTGGCAGGGGGTTGGACTCGATGGCCCTTGGGGTCTCTTCCAACTCTAGGATTCTATGATTCCTTAGCTGCGATTCTGTGGCCCCTGGAGGTTCCAGAGTTTGGCTTCCTACTCCTCTCCCACTTTTTCTCATAGATAAGTGGTTCCTGCCTTGTAGGGGATTGGACTGGATGAGCTTTGGGGGTCCCTTCCAACTCTACAATTCTGTAATTTTCAGAGTAGATGAGCAGAATGCAACCAGATCCATCCATTCCTGATTCTGACATTTCTTCTTTTTCTCCAGCCACCTCCCTACCTGCCTGCCTTTAGTCTCGCTGGATTTGTCAGCAAATCCTGAAATCGGCATTGTTGGTCTTCGGACGCTGCTACTTGCCCTCGAGGAAAGGAATCGGGGCCTCCAGTTCCTCAGCTTGGCTGGTGAGTGCTGGAGCCTTTTTTACCGGTTGCCCCCTGACTGCCCCTCCCCTCCAGAACTGCTGAAGGGCAATGGATTCTGCGTGGCCCAGCTGGATTAGCCTCGGTCTGTTGTTTTGCCCGCAATCCTGTGGTTTTCTCATGCACCCCTCTTGACGTCAGTCCAATAAACCAAAAGCAAAATTTATTTTGTCTAAAGGGAATTAGCGTGCGGAAAACTAGGATGTGATCAGGGAAAAAGCAGGGGGATCTTTGTTCTGATGAAGGGCAGGCTGAGTAATCTGAGCTTCACCTCAGTGCATCCTAAAGCTAAAACTTCAGGAACCTGAGCCATAGTTGTGGGATGTAGCTGGACTGTTGTAGTCTGAGAGCCCAGTTTTCAAAGTCATAATAATAATAATATCCTGAGAGATCGGCATTGGCTCCCAGTACATTTCTGATCACAATTCAAAGTGTTGGTGCTGACCTTGAAAGCCCTAAACGGCCTCAGCCCAGTATCCCTGAAGGAGCGTCTCCACCCCCATCATGCAGCCTGGAAACTGAGGTCCAGCTCCGAGGGCCTTCTGCTGGTTCCCTCCCTGCGAGAAGCCAAGTTACAGGGAACCAGGCAGAGGGCCTTCTCAGTGGTGGCGCCCGCCCTGTGGAACACCCTCCCACCAGATGTGAAGGAAATAAGTAGCTATCTTATCTTTAAAAGACATCTGAAGGCAGCCCTGTTTAGGGAAGCTTTTAATATTTAATGCTGTATTGATTGGGGTATAAATAATATATTATTATTATTATTATTATTATTATTATTATTATTATTATTATTATTACCCCGCCCATCTGGCTGGGCTTCCCCAGCCACTTTGGGCGGCTCCCAACAGACTATTTAAAACACGATTAAAATATCAAATATTAAAAACTTCCCTAAACAGGGCTGCCTTCAGATGTCTTCTAAAAGTCAGATAGTTGTTTATCTCTTTGACATCTGATGGGAGGGCGTTCCACAGGGCGGGCGCCACTACCAAAAAGGCTTTCTCCCTGGTTTCCTGTAACTGCCAGAAGGCCCTGGGAGCTGGACCTCAGTGTCCGGGCAGAACGATGGGGGTGGAGATGCTCCTTCGGGTATACTGGACCGAGGCCGTTTAGGCCTTTCAAGGTCAGCACTAACACTTTGAATTATGATCAGAAATGTACTGGGAGCCCATGTAGGACTGGGTTATATGGTCTCGGCAGCCACTCCCAGTCACCTGTCTAGCTGCTGCATTCTGGACCAAGGAGGCTCCTCCAGTCCTTCTCCTTCCTTCCTTCCCTAGGCTGCTCTGTGAGGGGGCCGCTGGACAGCGTGACATGGACAAAGCTCTCCTCGAACGTCTCTCAGCTGCAGCTCTGCACTCGCCACCTGAGCAGGAGTGACCAGCGGGACGTGGCGGAGCTGTGGCGTGGCCCGCCGGGCACATCCCTCCACTCAGTCACACGGCATCACAAACTCTTCTGCCACTGCCTGTAGGACGCGATGATTCTCCTCCATGTGCTGTAGGCCTCGCCCATGAAGCCGCCTCTGGAATGCTTTGCAGGCTCCAGCAGTCTGGGATTGCGCTGCTCAATGCGGCCGTGGACTTAAAAGACAGCTCCTGGGCTCCTGTAAGCTGGCATGGTCCAGGGCCGCCGATGGACCAGATGAAAGCAAGGGGTGTCTGTCCTCTCTCTCAAGGGATGTCAAGAAGGGAGATAGCTTGGCATTGAGCTGCTTAGGGTGGGACTAGACACAGGTGCGTCCAGAGCTCCAATAGGACCAACTCAATACTGCCATTATGAATTATATTCTGTGTTTGGTATGGTGGCTGAGAAAAGGGAATATTGGTATGGAAAAAGCGGCTTTGTCCTGCTCCCAGGGTCTTCTGCTCTCTCCCCGCTTGCGCTGCCCAGCAGTTCTGTGATGTGATTTCCAATATTTATTGAATGCCTCGCAACACAAAGATGCTGTGTCGTCCCTCGTCTTGTCTGTCCTGTGTCTTTGTTGCTGGTCTCAAATGGGCAGGTAGCGGTGCCATGGGGTGGGGAAGCTGCGCAGGCCTTGTGTGTTTTGAGCTTCAGGCTACGGAAAGAAGCTGCTGCTTTCTGAAAGCTCATTTGGGATACGGGACCAGGGAAATAAGTCCCAATTTTTAGAGGCGTCTTAGAGTCACCTCTGGGTGGAAAAAAAAGAGCCATCTGAATCAAAGAAATAAGGCCACCATTTGTGAATGTAGAAAGATTTTTTATTTGCTTCAGACTGCTAGAGTCTGCCTCTCTGAGGCAAAAGCAACACTCAAATAAATACAAGCACCACACAGACTTTACCTGCCCCACCACTGACCCCCTTTAGGTGGCAAAGAGAGTTAGTTGTCGTTTGCCGCCTTCCGTGGTGCGTTATTAGACTCCCTCCCCACCCCACCCCCTTAGAGAAGTGGACACAAATACTATACAATGCAATGAATGAGAAAACAGGAGAGCCATGGAACTTAAACAGTAACAAGAGGGAGTTTCTTTTTCCCACCCCAAAGGAGGGGAAACGAGTCTTCGCATTCAGAGCGACAATGGGAGGAATGTACATTTTCATTCCTGGCACAATGGCTCTATAACCACATGATGTGGCCGCTGTCGACGAGGCCCAAAGCCCGTCCTCACGAGTGCAGGAAGCGGTTGAAGGCATTGTAGGCGGACTCCAAGTCAAAGAGCATCTGCCGCACTTGAGAGTCGTCCAGTTCGTCCGAAGCCGACATGCCACTCAGGGTTTGCAGCCTGGAGGGAGAGCAAGAAGCATCAAGCGCTGGAGCGGAATGAGCAAGAGGGGGAGAAGGGGCGTCTTGTCTCTTCCCCTCTCATCCTGCCTTCCTCCTCGTAACTCCACAATATACCGGGGGGGGGGGGGAGGAAAGAGAAGCCTCTCCTGGGAAATGCCTCTGATGGGTCGTAGGAGAGGCAGATGGCTCTGGCCTCTTCCCTGTTCCAAGCGGAAAAGTGAGCGCAGGCTGGGGTTTTTGGAAGCCGCACGGAAAGGCCTCTGGCGTTTCCGCCAATCCACCTGGGATGGAAAAGCTAAAGCTTTGAGGCGCAGCCTTTGCTGCAGTCTCCCCACCAGACAGGTGGGAGGTGGGTGGTGCTGTGGGTTAAACCACAGAGCCTAGGGCTTGCTGATCAGAAGGTTGACTGTTTGAATCCCCGCGACGGGGTGAGCTCCCATTGCTCGGTCCCTGCTCCTGCCAACCTAGCAGTTCAAAAGCACGTTAAAGTGCAAGTAGATAAATAGGTACCGCTCTGGCAAGAAGGTAAACGGCGTTTCTGTGCGCTGCTCTGGTTCGCCAGAAGCGGCTTACTCATGCTGGCCACATGACCCGGAAGCTGTACGCCGGCTCCCTCGGCCAGTAAAGCGAGATGAGCACCGCAGCCCCAGAGTTGGCCACAACTGGACCTAATGGTCAGGGGTCCCTTTACCTTTTTTTACCCCCCCCCCAGACAACCGTTTCATTTTAGAATAATCGAAAAGGGTAAGAGGAGAGAAACAGAGTTCCTAATTCTATGGGGAAAATGCTCACCACTGGTTCACTTTCTGCCGCCCCTCGAAGTCCGGGGGCAAGTGGCTCATGCGGTTCATGGTCTCCATCAATTCCCGGAGGTCAGGCTGGATCTGAGGAGGAGGAGAAGGAGAGGGAAGGTCACTTGGCAGCCCTCCTTGGTCAACCTCCCACCATCCCTTCCAAGCCACAAAACACTCAAGGAAGTGTCTTGGCGGGCAGGTGCAGTTGCTGATCTCTGGACACCAAGCAATTTTCATGCTGGCTAAGCGTATAGGGAAATTGTGAAAAACGTGCTTCAAACCTTGGAATAAGAATGGCAGAAGGGGCCCCAGGAGTCATCTGGAGTCATCTAGTGGAGCCCACGACAATGCAGGAATCTAAACTAAAGAATTGCTTATAGAGGGCCGTCCAATGAAGGAGAGGATACAGACAAAGCCCTGTGGCTGGATCAGGCCAAAGACCTCTCTAATCCAGCATCCATGAGGGACAGGAATGCTTCTGATCCTGCAACTGCCTACTAATATTATTATCATTACAATTTCTTCCCCTCCCTTCACCTCCAGGTGCCTTCTGTGCCAACTTTCAAATGCCTGAAAACTGTTCTATTCTGCGAGGTCAATGCAGCCAATTAAGAATTCATCCTTCCACCATGGTTTATTGCTTTAAAAAAGCACCACTTCATTATTATGATTATATATTTATACCCCAGCTTTTCCCCTGACATGGACTCACTTTGTGTGCATGGTTTTTATCCTTTTAATGTTGTAAACCACCTCTGGGTATATTTTTATTATTTAGCGGGATATAAATGTTTTTAGAAACGAAATAAATAAACAAGGTCCTAGGGGTGGGTGAAAGCAAAATTACAGAAATACGTTGGGTCCTAAAAACACTCATCTCAAGTGTCAAAAGGCAGGGTGATGACGGTACCAGACACTGATAGCTTTATCACCCTGTGAATATGTAGGGAGTATGTATTTCATAAGATTGATGCACTGCTTTTGGGGACACCGTCACTGTGATTATACCTAGAGACAAGATCCTATCAACTGCTTGCCCATTTCACAACAAAATCTGCCCGTAGTTTGGCTGGAAAGCATGTAGTATCTAACACCCTATCTAACACCCCACAACAAACAAGCAAGTCTTGAAGGTGCTCACAGCAGCACCCTGACCAACCTTGGCCTGCGGAGGGCAGCGACTTTGGGTGGAAGCACCCCTCTCCTCTCACTCACCTCATCCATTGCCCGGATCTCCAAGCGCAGCTTGTCCATCACTGTGATAAAGAGCTGCAAGGGGAAAATAATAATAATAATAATAATAAATAAAATAATAAAATTTTATTTATATCCCGCCCTCCCCAGCCGAAGCTAGGCTCAGAGCAGCTAACAGTAAAAGTAACACAGTTTACATAAAATCACGAAATACATTCTAAAATCAATTCATAACCAAATTAATGGCAACCATTGGGCTAGAGTTCTATGAGGATTACCCTTCAGTTCGGGCCCAGGGAGCATCAGGCAGAAGGACCCCCAAGAGACGCCCTTCTGCTCCAGGTCGTCCCTCTCTCCCCCCACCCACCTACCGACACGATGTCCGCAATACAGCGGTTGAGGTTGCCCTTGTCATCCTTGATGGTAATCGGCCGGTCTTCCTTGATCCTCTCCATGGCCAGCGGGCAATCGAGCTGCAGGAGAAAGGAAACAGGGACACTCAAAGGAGCGAAACACAGATCAGCCACAACTTTCCCACAGGGATCCACTCAGGCTCCCCCAGCCATGGTCTTGATCCCCTCGAGGACCGCAAGGCGGGTCAGGAGCTGGAAAAAGCCGCTTCATCTGCACTCTGGGGTGAAGGAGCAAAGGTTTTGCACCCAGGGATGAGAATCTGGCTGCACAGCTGGGACCAGAGGACACCACTCCCCACTCAATGCCACCCATGCAGACGTCCCCCTTCAGCATCAACTGCTTACCCGAAATTTACGGCAAAAGTCATCGATGGAGTTGATTTCCGGGCCTTGGACCTGCTTGAAGGCTGCCTTGTATTGGACTAGGAGGCGGGAGCAAGCTGCAGTGTACCTGGAAGGACAGGGGGCCACATGGAATCGGCTGCCCACCCTCTTCAGCTGAGCCTCCACTGTTAGCCCTGCCCCCTTTTTCTCCACAGCTGCTGTGGTGGTGGTTCTGGACAGTTACACTCCAGGAAGCTTTCTTATTCACTGGGTGCATGGCTCACATGACCCGGGCATTTTCCTTTGATCTATGCTCTCTGGGGGACGCAGGTGGCGCTGTGGTCTAAACCACAGAGCCTAGGACTTGCCGATCAGAAAGTCAGCAGTTCAAATCCCCACGACAGGGTGAGCTCCCGTTGCTCGGTCCCTGCTCCTGCCCACCTAGCAGTTCAAAAGCACATTAAAGTGCAAGTAGATCAATAGGTACCACTCCGGTGGGAAGGTAAACGGCGTTTCCGTGCAATGCTCTGGTTCGCCAGAAGCGGCTTAGTCATGCTAGCCACATGACCTGGAAGCTGTACGCCGGCTCCCTCGGCCAGTAAAGCGAGATGAGCACCGCAACCCCAGAGTCGGCCACGACTGGATCTAATGATCAGGGGTCCCTTTACCTTATGCTCTCTGGGGGCTGCAGAGAGCAGTCTGAGAATGTGAGCAAGGTAATTTCATTTTTGTTAGAGGCAGAAAGCTGCAAGCATGCAGATAGATTTCTGTAGGTTTTCTTTTCTGTTTGTTATGCTTCTAAATAGTGTTAGATTAGAAGCACTGGTGTCGGGTTGAGTTATTGAAGACACCACGTCGCCACAGACAAGCCATTTTACGCTGCGTGTGAACTCTGCTATTATCTGGCAACTGTGAAGAGTGGCAGCGTGTGGGCGCCACTGAAGTTTGTCGGAGTGGCAATAAGTTCAGATTTATTGCAGTGCCATTGCAGCGGACTCGGTGGGTCAAAGGATTTACGACCCACAAACTTAACAGCTGCCCATGACTGACGCTGCCCTGCTCCACTCCTGAATTAAGCAATGCTGCCCCAGATCTCGTCTCTTTTACAGATCGCTTGAGGGAGCTTCATTGCAGGGGCTTGAATCAGGTGGCCCTCTGTGGCCCTTCCACCCCGGCAATTCTATGAACCCAGAGTGGCATTGCCTCAGATCCCTCCAGGTGCCTGTCAACTCACTCGTTGGGGGTGACACAGTCCTTGATGTAGGCTTTTTCCAGAGCCTGCATTGTCTTCACCACAGCAAACAGCTCAGCCATGTTGTCGTACCTGAAGCAAAGTTAGAACGAGTCAATTAGGACGGTCCAGCTGCACCCTGACCCGTTTCCCTCTGAGAAAAGAGACTCTGACAGAGGCCAGGAGCCTGGGGGGGGCATAGGGGCATGCTGACCTCTCACGTCAGACAAGGGCTCATGCATTTGTGGGGAAATGACACGGCACTCAAAATATCAAATTCCACAGTTGCTAGGGGAGCAAAAGGTTAAGACACATGGCACTCCCTGTAAATTCCTAGAAGGAACTTTGTGTGAGGTCACATCCTCTGCTTGCCCAGGCGGAAAGGGTAACAATAGGAAAACAATCCTCGTCACTTCCTCCCACCTGTGGAAAACTCTCTCATCATGCAGCCGTAGGGAAAGGATGCAGGATCTGTGCTCCCCCAAAGCACAAACCCCATCTTTGACCTAAACCATGTATTTTGTAACTCTGAAGTACGGTAAAACCTCGGTTCCTGAACACCTCCATTTTGGAACATTTCAGCTCTCGGATGTCAAAGTGTTCCAGTTTTCGAACTTGAACATCTGACGCAGCTTCTGATCTGCAAACAGCCTAGCTGTTAGCAAATCAGAAGCCGCACCTTGGAGTTCAAACATTTCAGAAGTCGAACGTCCTTCCGGAATGGATTGTGTTTGACTTCCGAGGTTCCACTGTACAGTGGTGCCTCGCAAGATGAAAAGAATCCGTTCTGTGATTCTCTTCGTCTAGCGGTTTTTTCGTCTTGCGAAGCAAGCCCATTGAAGGATTAGCGGATTAGCGCTATTAGCGGCTTTTAGCGGCTTATCTGCTGATCGGATCAGCTGATAAGTGGCTTAGCGGCTTAGAAAAAGGGGGGGAAGGGGAAAAAACCAGCAGGAACTCGCAAGACATTGTCGTCTTGCGAAGCAAGCCCATAGGAGATTCGTTTTGCGAAGCACCTCCAAAACGGAAAACTCTTTCGTCTAGCGAGTTTTCCGTCTTGCGAGGCATTCGTCTTGCGGGGCACCACTGTATATTTTGCCCACCTTGTTTCACTGCTATTTTCTACCTGAATCGAGTCTGTAACTTTATGTCGGGACACAATATTTATATACTCTTATACTACAGACTTCTGTGTTGTTATTTTATTCAGAGGAATAAACAAGGCAGGATTCCCAAGGCATCCTGGATAATTAGAGAAAGCTCCACAGCCTTGTCCAAAGTTTCAGTGCTAATGCAGCACAGAATGGCATATTTTAACTCTGCTAAACTAGACACCCAACTTCCTCAAGTGAGTAAGAGGAAGGATGATTAATATATGATGCATTCCACCCTACTTTCTTCCCAACAGCAATTAATGCAGAATTTGATATCTTATGAACTGCTTTCCAAAAGAAGACTCAGCCCCTCAGACCACTCCCACGACTGCTGAATCTCCAAAAGTCGCTCCCCCTTCCTGTCAATCAAGCCCCTTCCCAGGCAGAGAGAGTTAATAATAAATAATAATAATATTTTTTTATTTATACCCCGCCCTTCCCGGTTCAAAAACCGGGCTCAGGGCAGCTAACAACAAATTTAAAACACTTAGTTGTAAAAACAGCATAAAATACAGTATAAAAACATCAATAGCAATAAAATTCAGAATTCAATTTAGGGGAAATAAGCATTAGATAATCCCCAGGGCTAGCTGGCTGAATTAGTCCTACTTGGGCCAGTGAGGAGGCCAGGGGAGAATTAGCTGTGGGGACTCAGAGCAGGTAATCAGAGCGGGAGTTGAACAGAGGTGTGGCTTGAGCCATCACTGAGCATGTCCTTTGCAACGACACACACTAGAGCTGGGTATACTGTATTTTTCGCTCTATAAGACGCACTTTCCCCCCCTCCAAAAATTAAGGGGAAATGTGTGTGCATCTTATGGAGCGAATGCAGGCTCCTTGGCTTCAGCGATAGCAACGCGAAGCCTCCGAAGAGCAGAGGGAGCACTCCCTTCATGCTCCGGAGGCTTCGCGTTGCTTTCGCTGAAGCCTGGAGAGTGAGAGCCCTCTTGCTCTCCAGGCTTCAGGGATAGCCGTCTGAAGCCAGAGGCTTTGGGTTGCTTCACTGAAGCCAGGAAAGCAAGACTCCTGGCTTCAGCGAAAGGAACCTGAAGCCTCCGGAGCGCAGCGGGAGCTCCCGCTGCGCTCTGGAGGCTTCAGGTTGCGTTCACTGAAGCCTGGAGAGCGAGAGGGGTCGGTGCGCACCGATCCCTCTTGCTCTCCTGGCTTCGCTTCGCTGGAGAGGCGCTGCACAGCTTTCCCTTTCTGTGCAGCGCCCCTTCAGCGAAGTGGGAGGAGAAATGGAAGGGGCAGAGAAATGGAGAAATTTTTTTCTTCTCCCCCTCTAAAACAAGGTGCGTCCTATGGTCGGGTGCGTCCTATAGAGCGAAAAAACCGGTAATTGGGTCAGGTACTCACTTCTCTCGCTCCCGGGCGTTCTTGTATAACTTCACTTCCTGCAAGGGAAAGGAGAGTGACACTGGATCCACCAAATCTTTGCACCAACGAAAGGAGAGTTGGGGCATCGGGGACCTTCAAGTCTGGGCTATGGGAGCCCCCCAAATGTAAGGAGCAGCGAGGGTAGTTCCCCAGGGGAGTCCTGCCCAAATCAGGAGCGCTTTGGCTGGCAGTCCTGCAATTTGGGGAGTGCCTGAAATTTCCCGCAATACTGCAACTCCCCCTCCCCAACTCACTCCCTGTGCCTCATTTGAAAGGAGTTTCTGGCCACTAAGCCACGAGGGAAACAGCATCACTTGCCTCGTATAGTTCCGGCTTATTCGCTGGGGCTGAAAAACAAAAAGGCGGAAATACCTGAGACCAACTTGCTCCCAAACTGCTGCCATGAACATGAGAAATGTTCTCCAGGAAACCCACAAGAAGGATTTGAGCACAAGAGCCTCTACCCTCCTGAGGTTTCCAGCAACTGCCTCTGACTTTGCAGGCAGAGTATAACCATTGTGGTTAACAGCCACGGATTGCCCTCTCCTCCTTGCTTTATGCCAGAACATAAAAGAATTTGGAAGAGGAGCCCAAGATCAGTGGGAGTTTGGAGACACCATGCCCAGCACACAGGTTAGATACACAGAATCCTTGCCATTTATTTTTAGGCTTCTCTTCAAGTTCTTATGCCAACACACCTATTCAGCTGTTTATAAATTCTTTCAGGTTGCGATAGTGTCATACCTCGGGTTACAGACGCTTCAGGTTAAGTTTTTTCAGGTTACGAACCCACCGAAACCGAAAGTACCGGAACAGGTTACTTCCGGGTTTCGGCGGTCACGCATGCGCAGAAGCACTAAATCATGCTTTGCACATGCTCAGAAGCGCCAAATCGCAACCTGCGCATGCGCAGCGGGTTGCAAACGTGCCTCCCGCATGGATCACATTCGCAACCCAAGCGTCCACTGTATCTCGTACTGTATTTAACATTTTATCACACTGACATATTTTGCTGTACACTGCCTTGATATTATATGTGAAGGGGCGATTGATACATATTTTTATTATGAAATATATAAAAACACTTCACACACACACAAAACCCCCTGCATATCAAGAATTTAAGGTCCAAGAAGTCCCTGTACTTGCTCTGGCCACCCCAGAATTAGCTCAAAAGCAGCACTGGACTCACCTCCCATCCCAGGGGCTGCTGGATTCCATGAAACATTCTTCCTCCAAGGGTCTGCAGCTGAGATCCAAAGTACCAACACGCAAGGTGCCTGTGATAAGAGCAGGTAAGAAGTCACAACTAAACCTCCCTCCACATTTGTTCGTTTGCTGATTTTGTATTCCAAGTACTTAATATTCAGAATTAGAACCATTAAAATTAAGCCTAGGACAGAGAACTCCCTTAAAATGCTGAAATATGGAAGTCCTTGCCAAGCACCTGAAGCTGACCAGGGAGGGAAGCCTGTCTAATTTCGGTTGGGAGGCTGCTCCCATAATATTGAATGTCCTACTTCTGAAATTTACACATTACACCTTAGATGTCAACCCTGCAAGCTCTTCTTGGCTAATTAGCCCTGAAACAAATTCTTCTTCTTTGGCGAGCACTCATAGCCTTTCTGCAATCAGTTCTGAGACCTTTTAAAAAAGGTGTACACAACTCTCCCCGATTTGGAGATACTGCAAGCTCATCTCTAACTTGGTTTTGCAGAATTTGTGAGAGGACCTCAGCAGTTACAGGGGAGTTGCAGTTAAGGAGATGTTGGTAATGTTCTTTCCAGTGCACAAACAAAGAAATAAAAGGGGGAGTGTTTCTCAACAATAAATGGAGCCTTTCCCCAGTGCCGGATTTACGTAGAAGCTTAACAAGCTATAGCTTAGGGCCCCACTCTCTTGGGGGCCCCCCAAATAATTTAAAGGAAACAAACAAACTGGATGTACATTTCCAAAATATAAGATAAAAAACAAATAAAATAAAACCTACCTACAGCAACAGTGTTTTGTGTTGTGTAGGCTCCTACAATGTAAAGTAATGAGCCCCGCCTGCTAACCTGCTCCCTAAAATATCACTGGTTTGCTCATTTCTGTATCAATTACTTTGATAAAATACATATTTTGTTATGAGCAAATGGCTTTAGATACCTATTAGGTCCATAAATTACCATATTGCATCTATTCAACACAAAAAACAGCAACCATTTGTTGTTGACACAGGACAGCTGGACATATAAAGGGCCCCATTACCTTCAGGAACTTAGGGCCTCATCCAACCTAAATCTGACCCTGCCTTTCCCCCAAACTGGGAATACGTGTGGTCTAGAGAGGTCCCTGCCCCGAGGAGCTTCCTCTGCAGAAAGAGAGGGAGCAGCGGAGGAAGTTTACTGTTTAGGGAAGCTTTTAATACAGTGGTGCCTCGCAAGACGAAAAGAATTCGTTCCGCGAGTCTTTTCATCTTGCGATGTTTTTCGTCTTGCGAAGCACGGTCCGTCGCAACTGCGCCTCTTCAAGCGGCTTTAAAAAAAAAAGCGCAAGACGTTTTCGTCTTGCGAAGCAAGCCCATAGGGAAATTCGTCTAGCGAAGCAACGCAAAAACGGAAAACCCTTTCGTCTAGCGAGTTTTTCGTCTTGCGAGGCATTCGTCTTGCGGGGCACCACTGTATTTGATGAATTATTGTATTTTAATATTTTGCTGGAAGCAGCCGCACACAGTGGCTGGGGAAACCCAACCGGATGGACGGGGTAGAAATATATTATTATTATTATTATTATTATTATTATTATTATTATTATTATTATACCTTATATATTATTATATATAATAATATATATGGCTGGGGAGGGTGGGGTATAAATAAAAGTTGTTGTTGTTATTATTATTATTATTATTATTATTAATAATAATAATTGAGGTGATTCAGACCAGGCCAGCTCTGCCCCGCCCCCAGCAGCAACAACAAGCACCCTGTGAGGGAGGCAGGCAGGCAGGAGGGAAGAGAGAGGAGAAGGGATTGGGGGGGCACATCCTGGCTGGCCCATTGACTGACGGACGACAGACCCACGGAGAGCCAAGGAGCGTCTGGCGGTGGGGGAAGCTGCCCCAGCTGGGGCGGGGGTCCACAGATGTCAAGGCAATAAACAACTATTTTACTTTTAAAAGACAACTGTTTGGGGAAGTTTTTAATGTGTGATGCTGTATTGTTTTTTAATATTCAGTTGGAAGCTGCACACAGTGGCTGGGGAAACCCAACCAGATGGGTGGGGTATAAATATATTATTATTAATCTTATATATTATTATATCTATGGGCTACTTTTAAAACGAGGCTGCATTTTAAATTGCATTTTAACCTTTATTTTAAATTGGGTGTCCCCCCCCATTATGTTTTTACTGTAATTTTACTGGTGTTATCCGCCCTGAGCCCGGCTCTGGCTGGGGAGGGCGGGGTATAAATTATTATTATTATTATTATTATTATTATTATTATTATTATTATTATTTGAGGTGATTCAGACCAGGCCAGCTCTGCCCCCAGCAGCAGCAACAACCCTGTGAGGGAGGGAGGCAGGCAGGAGGGAAGAGAGAGGAGAAGGGATGGAGGGGGGGCATCCTGGCTGCCCATTGACTGACGGACCACGGACCCACGGAGAGCCAAGGGGCGTCCTGGCGGTGGGGGAAGCTGCCCCAGCTGAGGGGGGTGCCCACGGGCCCCACTCCCCCCCCCAGGTCTGAGAGAACTATGGCGTCCCCTCCCCAAATAAGAGAGAGGCGAGCGGGGGCCGCATCCCCACAGGGCCCCCCCAAGGACCAGGCCCCCCAGCGCCCCCTCCCTCAAACCTCGCCCCCCCCCCGCAGTCCAGGGCTGCCCCCCACAGAAGCGCAAGGCCTTACCCGGCTCCGGCTGCTTTGTTTCCTTCCCCACTTCCGGGAAAATGGCGCCCCGCCTCCGATCGATAGCTCGGCGCGCTCCCTTCCCCCTGCGGGGTCGGCGCTCGTTTCGTCAGGCCTGGCGTCCCCAGAGCGCGTCTTGGGCTATAGATCTACGAACCCTAGAGTTCTCGCACGCACGTGGAGTTCCGGGTTCGCTGCGGGCGAGGCTCGTCTCTAGAATTGATATGATCCCCAGCTCTACCTCTCTTTCAAATCAGAACCAGTGAAGGTCCTGTGTGAGTGTCTGGAGGCAGTTGGAGGATGGATGGTGGCTAATAGATTGAGGTTGAATCCTGACAAGACAGAAGTACTGTTTTTGGGGGACAGGAGGCGGGCAGGTGTGGGGGACTCCCTGGTCCTGAATGGGGCAACTGTGCCCCTGAAGGACCAGGTGCGCAGCCTGGGAGTCATTCTGGACTCACAGCTGTCCATGGAGGCACAGGTCAATTTCTGTGTCCAGGGCAGCTGTCTACCAGCTCCATCTGGGACGCAGGGTGAGACCCTCCCTGCCCGCGGACTGTCTGGCCAGAGTGGTGCATGCTCTAGTTATCTCCCGCTTGGACTACTGCAATGCACTCTACATGAGGCTACCTTTGAAGGTGACCCGGAAACTACAAGTAATCCAGAATGCAGCAGCTAGACTGGGGACTGGGAGCAGCCGCAGAGACCATATAACACTGGTCTTGAAAGACCTACATTGGCTCCCAGTATGTTTCCGAGCACAATTCAAAGTGTTGGTGCTGACCTTGAAAGCCCTAAATGGCCTGGGCCTGTATATCTGAAGGAGCATCTACACCCCCATCGTTCTGCCCGGACACTGGGGTCAAGCGCCGAGGGCCTTCTGGCGGTTCCCTCCCTGTGAGAAGCAAAGTTACAGGGAACCAGGCAGAGGGCCTTCTTGGTGGTGGCGCCCTCCCTGTGGAACGCCCTCCCACTTGATGTCAAAGAGAACAACAACTACCAGACTTTTAGAAGACATCTGAAGGCAGCCCTGTTTAGGGAAGCTTTTAATGTTTGATGCATGACAGTATTTTAATATATTTTTTGGAAGCCGCCCAGAGTGGCTGGGGAAGCCCAGCCCGATGGGCAGGGTATAAATAATAAATTATTATTATATTATTATTATTAGGGATGGCGGGGAAGGAAGCTGACCGGGTTGCCAACCCCCATTCCATGCCAAGGGCAGCTTTTGGGGGTACGGTTCTGAACGCCTCGCTCCAAAGGGATGTTGCAATGCAGAAGGGGAAGAGGTTCAAGGGGGGGGAAAGGGTCGCCCCAATGACCCAGGGGGCGGGTTGCCATGCGTCCGGGTTTTCCTGGGCATACAGGACCCTGTATCCCGGGTGGAAATCTGTTAAATGTGATCGAGTATTCCAAAAGGCCTGGAGTAAATTTATACAACATTTGAAAGATTACTGCAATCGACAAGACTAGCAGGGTTGTCTGAAGACTTGTAATGAGAAACTTTCTACCAGTTTTATTTAAATTTTGAGCCATTTTGTAATGAGTGTAATTAGAACTGGAAAACGTACAAAATGCAATGATATAAAGGGTAATTTTGAAAGCCATGAGGTGGGAGGGAAGGAAGTCGATAGGCTCTAAAGAGCCAAAGCGGTAAAGTGGATGATGATGATGTGATTGATTTTCCATTTGTTATAAGAAAAATACCGCTTCCTTTCCCCTATGGGATATTCCAGAGCCCATATAGAGTCCTTAAGTGGGTTCCCTATTGGTAGGAGAAAATAACAGAGGCCAGCCGGAGAATACTGAGAAGTAAAGCAGCTAGTAAGCCTGATCTTTATTGAACTGTTGCAACAGGGTCTCCACTCACCACACGCAGGAGGGAGGAGAACCCAGAACATTGGTGCGCAAGCTCTTTTACAGACTTTTGAAATTGCCAACCCTGTAGCTCAAGACCATCGCCCAAAACATCATACATAAATCACTAAAGGAGGCGGTCTACAGCAGAAATCCTATCTGCCAGGATACCTGATAATGGTCACTGATTGCTTTACCTGGGCAGCCTGGCCATTCCTTTTGAGATGCTAAATACTTACTTCCAGAATCCAGGTCACAGGCTCACCCTATTCATACACAATACACCCTTAAGACAGGATTTGTGAGTAAAGAAGACAATGGGGAGCTTTTCCTTCCTCACAGCAGAGAATTTTTGAGGTGGCTGGAAGAGTCAAAATGGCTTCAGGATTGTTCTCTTCTACTATTTCAGACGTGATTTATATACTTATGTTCATAAATCTACAAGGCAAATACATACATACATATGATTTATATATATATGAGACCTTAGAATTCCTTGTAACACATAAAAATAGCTCAAAAACGGCATTAGTTTGCCCAAAAAACACATCAACTTTGGGCAAAAAAAAAAGCAGCTCAGTAACTTTTGGCCTCTGTTGGAATGACTGCATCCATAAAGGAAGGCTGCAGCATTTGGCACTGAATGACAGAAGTTCTTAAAACTATGCCTGATATGTAGAAAGTGACTAGAAAAAGTTCCCCTCTCTCCTATCAGCACAACTCACGGACACTGACAAGGCTGAATGTTGGAAGATTCAGGACGGATACAAGGAAGAAGTGTGCATGCACATGAAAGCTCATACCAATAACAAACTTAGTTGGTCTCTATAAGGTGCTACTGGAAGGATTTTGTTTGTTTTTCGGATCAAAGGAAGTCCTTCGTGCAGCGCAGAATTAAACTCTGGAACTCCCTCCCACAAGATTGGGCAAATTCATGGAGGAGAAGAGGGCTATTATTATGTTCCCTGCCCCTCAGCTACAGTCCTTCTAAAGTTTCCAGAATTTTTTATTATTTTTTTTTGGCCTCATATGCTTTTGAGGCAGTTGTTTCACCTTAGTGCCTCCATGTAAGACAGGGACACGGGTGGCGCTGTGGGTTAAACCACGAAGCCTAAGGCTTGCCGATCAGAAGGTTGGCGGTTTGAATCCCCGCAACAGGGTGAGCTCCTGTTGCTCGGTCCCTGCTCCTGCCAACCTAGCAGTTCGAAAGCACGTCAAAGTGCAAGTAGATAAATAGGTACCGCTCCGGCGGGATGAGCACCGCAACCCCAGAGTTGGCCACGACTGGACCTAACGGTCAGGGGTCCCTTTACCTTTACCTTAAGTTTATTGCACTTTGTGATACATGCAAAAGAGCTTATATTTGCACCCCAACGTGAACCCAATTATCCACAAACCAATTAAACACCTGGGAAAGAAAAATAAAGCCTTGCTTGCACTTACTTGGTTTATTTTATTGCTTACATGTGGATTGCACAGTATTATCACAGTGTTCTTACATTTAGTCAAATGGCTCATTACAGAGTGCGCAGAATATATATCCAAGCATCAGTAAAATAGACAATTCGGTTGTTCTCTTGACCGTCCTCCGTTATAACAGCGTTCGTTTACGCCTTAAATCTAATTTGCTATGAAAAGCTAAACATTCTTTTACACGTCGTCCGCTGAAATGCCAAGGTGCAAGGTAGAATACGAAGAAATCCCAGCAGTGGCAAACATCTGAACAGCGCCAAACTGTTCCCACAAGCACGGCTGGTCAAGAACATCATGGCCTTTGTGTCTTACACTCTCCAAAGTTCATTGACCGTTACAAAATTAGCGATAGTTGTCTTAACCATCCGTCCCGTCTCAGTGACCAAGGCAGTGCAGTGCCTAAGACACTGCTTTCCAAGGCCTGTACAATTCACAGTGGAATGAACATTTTGGACCCAGCATGGCAGCTGTTCTGCATCTGCAGCTAGCCCAGCCTCAAAAGATCAATGCTCGTGCTTGCTTCTCCCCCTCCCCTGTTAAATGCTGAGAAAGAGCAACATTGCTTTGGGGAATGCAGACGCCCACTAGGCAACACACCAAAGGCAGGCAGGTGAAAACAACTCAGGTGAGGCTTCAAAGCAAATACGACATGAGGTGCAAGGCATCTGTTGCATGCAGAGATGAGAGGAGAAGCGGCTGGGTGTGTTTAGCACCACGGTCCACCGACTGCATGAATGCAAATCAAAACAGCATTCTTTTATTTTTATATTTTTATATATATATTGTACAAAAGCAGTCACACGATAGAAAAAAAAGCAGCAGCGTGCATGATCTCAGTGTGCGCACCGACGTCAGATTAACTTTCGTCTTCGAATAAGACACCACTCTGATGACATCAGACGCCAAGACATCTTACCTTCCAAAACCAAAAAGTGGAAGCTAAGGGCGTCAAGAAAACGGCACCACGTGCTATGAGGGGCGCTGGCGCCTGTGGTCTGAGCAGGGCGGAAGGGTGGAGCAGCTGCAATCACAGGGGAATGCTGTGCGAAAGAGGCTGTTTCGTCATCCGCTAAGAGCTGTGATTGCGCTGTCAAACTGAAAAGAAGGGCTTGGTTACCAGCCTGAGCCCGGCGAGCGCTTCCCAAGGTTGACAAACTAAAAAAGCTGGTAGGGAAGACCCAGCCCTCTCCTACTTCATTTAAAGCAAAACGAAATCAGAAGGCTGAGCGTTTGGTACACTGTCAAGCTCACCTCTCTCCACACCCTCACAATTTTATGCTCAAATGCTGATCTGGCCAAGCCCCAAGCTGGTGTTTTCACACTGAGCGGCGCAATCGGGCAGCGCAGATGTCTTTCAGTTTTTTCAACAAAACTGAAATTGTGAGTTGGGCCTAAGAAAAACTGGCCTGTTTCTTTTGTGATGGGTGTTAAGTGCTCCTCCCTGCATGCAGGGATACACAGGCCAAGGGAACCAAATGTCTCACACTTTTTATCCTTGGAGGAAAACGTAGCAATGAAGTTAAAGCAGATGGAAGTTGGTGCATTTTTAAAATGCAACGACTTCTCATGGAGGGGAGGGGAAGCACACGATAAAAATTCTAACCTCTCCAGGAAGCTCCATCCATGCGTTTTGTTTTCTCTTTCAGCTGACAAAATATCACTAAAAGGCTACCACTATACTACAGAGGGAAATATTTCAAGGAATAACCAGCTTCTCTTCTACAATTTCAAACAGAATTAGTTAAAAAAACAAAACTATTTACCATTTGAAAATGCCCTTAATCTCTTACACTATATACCAAATATATATATCTATGTATCTATTGTCTCGTTTAGGTACTCTAAAAGCAACACAGAAAAATACATTTCCCCCAAAAAACCACAGGGCATGAACTAGACACATTTAAGACATCAAAAATATTTCAGGGTTTTGGTGCTTGTACAGAAAGAGGCATTTCTTTGCGCCACAGCAAGGCTTGTGATGTGGGAAATCACATGTGCAAAGAACCACAAGGAAGCATGGTACATTCAGATTTGCTGCTGTGATTGGAGAAGGGGCAAGGGGTCACCCCCCAGGTCTGTGGTTAAGTATTATGGGATTATGACTAGCAACGTGTCTACTCAGCATTGCTTAAGGTGCTGAGGTTCTTGTGCTGAAAGAAGCTGAAGAGTAAACAAGCCAGCAAAGAGTTTGCCAGTTAATCCTACGACATCGAGACAGTGCGGATGCCACGGACCCTGTAGCTCCTAGTCTAAAATTCTCCGAAACACAAAACGATTTGGCAAAAGAGACCGTATTACACTTGTAAACATTTTTTTTTTACGCCAAAGAGAAAAAAAGAGAGCGTGAAATACTCTGAAAAAAGAGAGATTTAACTTCAAGAGCAGAATGATCAGGGTAAGAAACCTGTGATGTGGGCACCAGCCCAACGGCCCCCAGTCCAGGGCTATGTCTGAAAGCTCTATTAAAATGTGACAGAGGGAAGAGGCAAGGCTGAGCTCAAAGCTCATCTGGAACGCTACACAACATGCTCTGAATGGTAAATAATGCCCAGCAGAGGCCAGAAGACTCTTTAATACACACAAAGATCTGGAAACTTCATCTCATAAACCGGAACTGATTGATAGTGGGTGTGTCCAGCCGTGATGGTCAGCGTCCCAGAGGGGCTGGGAGGAGGGCTGCAAAGGAGACATTAAAAGAGGGTTAAGATCTCACAGCATGTTTTGTCTCGTCTCAGCAACATCATAATAATAATAATAATAATAATAATAATAATAATAATAATAATAATATCAGTTTAGTGGAGAACACAGCCTTCTCAGGACACCCCAGCCAACTTGTGACCACAAGAGAATGGCTCTCTTGTGAGACATTCTCCTTGCCTTACTTACTTATTTTTGAATTGCCTATCCTGCCTTTTTGTCAAACTGATCCCCAAGGCAGCTAGCAATCCATAAAGCAATTCAACAAAGCAACACAATAGGACTGTAAGGGAACTATGGCAAGACACAGACCCAAAGAACCCAACATGGACCCAATTAGCTCAGGACATTACACAAAAGCTGAGTGAACCAGATGAGTTTCAGGCCTGCTTCCTAAAGATCATATAGAGAGAAGAAGGGATGGGGGCAAATCTCACTGGTCATGGTTTTTGTTTTAGTAGAGTAAATGGAAAGTGTGAATCTTCCATGTCAAGTCAGCTTGGCGCTGTAGGAGCCATTTTCTTTTATATATATATTTATTGTTTTTTTGATAATTTTATACATATAAAACATAACCATTTCAAACATTAAAATACAAGGTTCTTTTGAACCTTTGGACTTCCTTCTCTCCCTCCATGGATTCCATGTTTAAGTTTAAATTTGCTGCATCTTTTACCATTATCCATCTTCAGTGGTACTTCTGGTTGTGAACGGGATCCGTTCTGGAGGTCTGGCCGCATCCCGAAAAATTTGCAACCAGAGGACCACTTCTGCGCATGGCACGATTTAGCATTCCTGCGCATGCGCACAGAGCATAGAGCGTTTCTGCACATGCACGCACGGCAAAACCTGGAAAAATACTTCTGGTTTTGCCGTGTTCGCATCCCTAAGTTTACGTATCCAGAGGGATACATAAGCAGAGCTACGACTGTATTATATTACCACAAACAATTCCACATTACAAGTGTCAATATAAAAAGGTGGATGGTAGTCTCGCTTCTTTTGAATCTGTCCTCCTTATGGTTCTGTCCATACCCAGGGAGACTACCCCATTCATATCACCCAGTAGAATTATTTTCTGGTCCATAATGGTAGGAGCCATTTTCAACTGCAAGGAGCCCCAAGGCATGCTGGGGCAGCCACTCCTCTGTTCACCCAGTTCCCCATGATGGGGAGGAGATGTCGATCATGAGGTTCTGGGCTTCCCACATTTCTCTGGCAGCGCAGTGCTCCTGCAGCAAGCCTGGCACCAGAGTAACATGAGAAGCTGCCTAGGACAGTGTTTCCCAACCGGTGCTCCGCGGCACACTAGTGTGCCGCGAGACGTTGCCTGGTGTGCCGCGAGATGTTGCCTGGAGGGAGGCGGGTGAGTCAGGCGGCAAGAGGCGGGGCGGCGGCGGCGAGGAGAGGCCGCCCAGTGCGGGGCTCTCGCCGTCTGCCTGCCTGGCTGCCTGCGTGGCGGTGACGTCACGGGGCTGTAACGTGCCCCACATAGGCACACGCGGGGCGGCGAGCTCCCTCCCTCCCACATCCCATCGCCGCTCGCTTCGGCCGGCCTACTGGGCTGTCGCAGGCGGAAGGCCTGCGCATGCGCGAGGTTTTCGCGCCTTCGGGATTCCCTTCACGCCTTCCTCCTCCCGGGTCCTTGAGAGCGCGGGAAGCGGCAGCGCGAGACCGGCGTTGAGCCTGGTAGGTATTGCGCTTGCCAAGGCAGTCATTTGGGAAATGAAAACTTGCAAAGCAAGCAACCAGTTCAATCTGAAGTACGTGTATGCTTAATATCCTGTATCTGAAACCTGTTCTGCCCCCTCCCCCACACTTGGTGCCATTTTCATCTACACATGCAGCAGAGTAAGTTGACCCAGAATAGTACCAATTCAGATGGCAGATGGGAGAATGACAGTGCTGAATGCTTTCCCATGTAGAACAGTCCCTGCAAATAAAAACCTAGCATATTTGGAAGAGGGATGCTAGCCTAACCATTACCTTCTATGCTGTTACTATTTTTTTATTTTTTTTTTACATAAGTAAAAAGTGACCTTTCCCCATCTGGCATGGTGGTGTGCCTCGAGATTTTTTTCATGAAACAAGTGTGCCTTTGCCCAAAAAAGGTTGGGAAACACTGGCCTAGGAGGACAGCACTGGCGTGTGCCAGCTAGTAACAAATCAGGGGTCCCAATCATGGAGGCCCTCCCTTGCAGGAGCTGATTACCCGAGAAAGTGTAGTAGTAGTAGTAGTAGTAGTAGTAGTAATAATAATAATAATAATAATAATAATAATAATAATAATAATTTATACCCCAGCCACTCTAGGCAGCTTTCAACAAAATATTAAAATACAGTAATGCATCAAACATTAAAAGCTTTCCTAAACAGCCTTCAGTTGTCTTTTCAAGATAAGATAGCTGCTTATTTCCTTGACATCTGCTGGGAGGGCGTTCCACAGGGCAGGCACCACCACCGAGAAGGCCCTCTGCCTGGTTCCCTGTAACTTGGCTTCTCGCAGTGAGGGAACCACCAGAAGACCCTCGGCGCTGGACCTCAGTGTCTGGGCAGAATGACTGGGGTGGAGACGCGCCTACTGGACCGAGGCCGCTTAGGGCTTTCAAGGTCAGCACCAACACTTTGAATTGTGCTCAGAAACGTCCTGGGAGCCAATGCAGGTCTTTCAAGACCGGTGTTATGTGGTCTTGGCAGCCGCCCCCAGTCACCAGTCTAGCTGCCGCATTCTGGATTAGTTGTGGTTTCCAGGTCACCTTCAAAGGTAGCCCCACATAGAGCGCATTGCAGTAGTCCAAGCGGGAGATAACCAGAGCTTATGTAATGCTTATGGTAAGCTGCTGTGTGCCTGTGGCTTTATTTCCTTACCACTCAGAGACAGGTCGGCAAATCTGGCCACAGAAACAGTATGCCCAACACTACAGGGTTGTCAGAACTGCCACTACACCCCCCCCCCGTGACTCCAGGGTAGGACCTACAGCCCCTGGCCATTTCCCTTACCGAATGGTGAGCTCCAAGATCTGAGCAAGCCGGTCGTGGAGGAGGTTTGCCTGTAGGGAGAAAACATACATTTATTGGAAAGTATTCCAAGGTGCAGTTCTATGCAGGAGTGTTGCACCATTTGCTTCCCTTTCCGGAGTCTGGGATTTTCCGTGGAGAAAACGGGGTTTTGTGTCATTCCAGGCCTCGGAGCCCAGGAAAGAGCTCGGGCAGAGATACAAGCACTTGGCCAAGCAGGGGCCAAACTGTCTTGCAATGCGTTCGTTGAACTTTTAATGGGGAGTTTGCTGGAGGACTCTTGAGAGTCCCATGGACTGCAAGAAGATCAAACCTCTCCATTCTGAAGGAAATCAGCCCTGAGTGCTCCCTGGAAGGACAGATCCTGAAGCTGAGGCTCCAAGACTTTGGCCACTTCATGAGAAGAGAAGACTCCCTGGAAAAGACCCTGATGTTGGGAGAGATGGAGGGCACAAGGAGAAGGGGACGACAGAGGACGAGATGGTGGGACAGTGTTCTCGAAGCTACCAGCATGAGTTTGACCAAACTGCGGGAGGCAGTGGAAGACAGGAGGGCCTGGCGTGCTCTGGTCCAGGGGGCACGAGGAGGCGGACACCACTAAACGACTCAACAACAACAATTGCCCTCTGGATGCAGTTTAGCCAGCCAGAAAGGAAACCAGCGTAGAGCCTCACCCGGCCGTCATGTACTGCAGGCCACAAATTCTCTTGCAGGGACCAGACACCCTGTTCCAATGAGAGTGGATCTTGGTCCAGGCCACCTCTCAAAGCCCTCCTCCCCCAGATCTTACAGCATCACAGAAAAGCCTGGTGTCAGGGACGGGACTGAGGAGGAATGGTGGGGGCCGCCACCCTCTCTTCCTGAACCTTCCTGAGAAGAGGCAGACAGTATAGATTTAGAGCAGTGGTTTGCAGAAGGTCATAGTTCTGAGGCTGCAGAGGGGAGAAGCTGGGAAATATTGGGAGAGCAGCAGGAAGAAGAAGCACCAGGGGAGAGACAGCTGACAGACTCAGTGTCTTTAGAAAGTATTCCTACCTGTCCCCAAGGACCCAGCATGCATTGAGGGTAGTAGAACAGAAAGCTCAAGAGGCAGAAAGACTTTAACGTTTGATTTTTTTAATCATGTTTTTAATGTTCTGTTGGGAGCTGGCCCAGAGTGGCTGGGGAAACCCAGCCAGATGGGCAGGGTATAAATAATAAATTTATTATTATTATTAATGAACTCTTAATGAAAGAGTTCTCCTGCTGCTGTTTTCTGCAGATGCGATAGAGGCGGTGAAGAAAGTCCTCGTCGCCGTTGCTGTCGCCACTTGGTAGGCTCGACATTGAGCTCTAACCCGTGTTCGGTCAGATTCAGAATGAGCTTTCTGCCACAAGCGTTCTAGCTGTCTCAGCGATTGTTTCATCGCCCTCAGCTCCTCAGAAAACCCACAGGGCTGTCCGGACTCCATGCAATCGGAGAGGGCACTTTGGAGCCAGACAGTCAATAGCCTTGGTTAACTCCGCATTCCAATGGGTCACCAGGGAATCAGCTGAAAGGCCATCAACATGGGATAAAGCATCCCCTACCACTCTCTGGAAACCATTTGGTTTCCAGCCGGCACAGGGATGACGTAGAATAGGAGGGACTAAGAGGGTGGGACTTTACTTGGAGCAATGCCATTATCTAAGAGAGACCACATTCCTTCTTCTCTCTCTGTGAATATTGAATAAACCACTTGGTAAGAACTCTTCTTGTTTATCTGCTTCTTGGCTGCCCCCGTGGGAGGGATCAGATTCCCTGAAGCCTGACACCTGGTGTAATAGCCAAGGTCATCTAGCAGATTTTAGGCAGGAAGTCTGTTCCAAGCCCTTTACTCCTAAAAGGTTGTTGTACTCCAAGACAATCCTCTTGCTCCTCTTCTACAGATTTCCTTACAGCTCACACAGCGAGATCCAGATCCCTGGGCTCACCTTGGTTTCACACTGGGCTGCAATCTCTTCAAAGGGAGCTTTCTGGAACTTTTCAATCACCAGGCGCCTCTTCTCCTTCTCTTGCTCTTCAAGACCAGTGTTATCTTTGGCAAGGGAAAGAAAAAGAGAGAAAGAAATGCAGTAACTGCCAGAGACTCTTTAGGCAAGACTGGCACAACACGCAAGCAATTATTGTTATTAAATTTGTATACTGCCCTTCCTTGGGACGCGGGTGGCACTGTGAGTTAAACCACAGAGCCTAGGACTTGCCAATCAGAAGGTTGGCAGTTCGAATCCCCGTGACGGGGTGAGCTCCCGTTTTCCGGTCCCTGCTCCTGCCAACCTAGCAGTTCAAAAGCATGTCAAAGTGCAAGTAGATAAATAGGTACCGCTCTGGCGGGAAGGTAAACGGCGTTTCCGTGCGCTGCTCTGGTTCGCCAGAAGTGGCTTAGTCATGCTGGCCACATGACCTGTACGCCAGCTCCCTCGGCCAATAAAGCGAGATGAGCGCCGCAACCCCAGAGTCGGCCACGACTGGACCTAGTGGTCAGGGGTCCCTTTACCTTTACCAGGGTCATCTAGTTGAAACCTCTGCAATGCAGGAATCTTTTTGCCCCAACATGGGACTCAAACTCGCAACCAAAAGCACTCAAGTAATTGCAGCAGGCGGCTGTTGCAATCAGAGAATCTTCCTTACAAAATGCTGAACGAAGATCTTTTCTTAATTTCAAATCATAGGCTGTCTGGTAAGGGCCAATGCCTGCTGGAGGGGAATGCAGGGAGAAAGCTAGCTTCACAGGGAACTGAGGGCAATCTCACCTATAGCTTTCTTCAGTGCTTCAAAAGTAATTTCCTCCGTGTTAACCTGGAGAAAAGATCAGATATTTGTTTAAACCACATAAGCAACTGAACCATTTGGGGGTGGGGGATGCAATTCTTTGTTCTTATTTACTTGTGACTGTCTGCAAAATTTGGAACAGATCAGCTTGTTTATAGGTAGTCATTATTTGGTGGCAATTCTGGGTGTTGAGGGGGGATGACAGAGAATAGGAAGTTGAGCAGCTGAGATTAAAAATTAAAAACTGGACATCACCAGAACAAGAATTTTACTTGCCAGGGGTCTAAAATTCTGAAGTAGAGGGTTGTTCAAACAGTTGTGAGGTCAAAGAAATTAAATGTAAGAATGACACCAGCCACAGAACATTTGCATTGTCAACATAGCCTCAGGAGCAAGACTCTAAATCACAGACAGCACAAAGTTATTCTGCCCTCTCTCTAAAATGAGAGACGCAAGGGAGAAGTTCCTTTAAGACTCATCGCACAACCTGACAGAGAATAAACTCACCTTGTCTTCTGTGCCATTGCCAGGGAGGATGTCCACTTGAATAGATACAGTATCCACAATACTCTTCCTTCGGGACAGCCGGTCTTCATCTGCAGACACGGACAACCCAAAATAAAATTCAGAAAGAGCCTTTATTTCGTTGTGGAGGAGGAGGATGGGCCCCTTCTGAGACAGTAGCCAACTAAGTTCTACTGAGAGTACTCATTAAAATAAATGGACCTACTTTAGCTAAATCCATTCATTTCAATGGGTCAACTCTGGGCAGGACTAACATTGAAGACAACCCTTTGAGCTTACTGACTTCTTTGCCATTTTCTACATTCTGACAAAGCTAACATGTAGTTTTATTTAGTGACCATTTAGTGGCAGTTACGGTGCATCTCAGGGTCAAGTTTTCAAATAATTTGAGTGGCAGTCACAGATGTGACGGGTGGCTGGGACAGGAAGGGTGGTGGTCCCAAGAGGCCAAAGAGTTACTGCTCTGGCCTGCTACGGCATCCTACGGAAGAGAACTTCGCACCCATCTATCTCAGGGGACGCCTTGGAAAGTTCATGCCACTGACCTAGATGGGAGGCAAACCCCCTTGTCCATCGTCAAGCAGCCCATCTAAATCACAATCTGGGCACCTGCAATGACTAATGCAAGGGAACAAGTTGTGCAGGAAAGGGAAAGGAAAGGCCCCCGGAACAAGGAAGGATGAGGGGGAGAGGATTCTGACAGCATGGCTCCCGGTACGTTTCTGAGCACAATTCAAAGTGTTGGTGCTGGCCTTGAAAGCCCTAAATGGCCTCGGTCCTGTAGACCTGAAGGAGCGTCTCCACTCCCATCGTTCTGCCCGGACACTGAGGTCCAGCTCCGAGGGCCTTCTGCTGGTTCCCTTACTGCGAGAAGTGAGGTTACAGGGAACCAGGCAGAGGGCCTTCTTGGTAGTGGCACCTGCCCTGTGGAACACCCTCCCATCAGATGTCAAGGAAATAAACAACTATCTGACTTTTATAAGACATATGAAAGCAGCCCTGTTTAGGCAAGTTTTTAATGTTTGATCTTTTATTGTGTTTTTAATGTTCTGTTGGGAGCCACCCAGAATGGCTGGGGAAACCCAGCCAGATGGGCAGGGTATAAATAATAAATTTATTATTGTTGTTGTTTTGTTGCATTTCTATTCCACCTTTTCCTCCAATGAGCTTCAGGTGGCATGTAGATGGCTCTCCCCCTCCTCATTTAATCCTCATGGGAACCCTGTGAGGTGGGTTGGGCTAAGAGGCACTGATTGACCCCAAAGGCCACCCAGTGAGTTTCACGGCTGAGTGGGGATTCGAACCCTGGCCGCCCAGGTCCTAGTCTGCGCCACACTTCTGCGCCACCCTGGCTCCTCATGGCATTATCCCACAAGTGGAGAATGTCCATGGCAGCCTTGCAGTAGATGTAACTTCATATTTCTTAACTATCACTTTGAAAAGAGAAGGCAGCTGCACCAGGTTTCAAGGAAGGGCTGGAAGAAGATGGTCCCAGGCTCAATTCTGAGCATCTCCGGGTAAAGTTAGGGGGGGGGGAACCTGCCTGAAACCCTGGAGAGCTGCTGCCAGTCTGTGTAGGGACACTGAGTCTTATGGACCATAGATATGACTCTGTACAACACTCTGTGATTGTTAGGTTGTGAAAACCTCCAGAAGCAAAAAAACAAACAAACCACATCTACTCCTCCAGAAATCAGAGCTCTGCCTGCACCCCTAACTGATGCTCACTGCAAGAGGCAGGTGACCAACCGGACGTGAGACACAAGCACGATGAACGAGCAAGCGCCACGATCAGAACCGCGTAACCGCTCACCTGTCACCTGGGGCACGTAAGGCACAGAGAGCCTCTCCACGCTGTATCCGCTGCCGCCCAAGGATTCCGCAATCTTGTGAGTCAGGAAAAACAAGTTCTTGTCGTCCTTGTCTAAGGCTTTGGGGAGACTGTCGAGAGCAAAAGTGCAGGAGTTCAGGCAAGAAATTAAGAAGGCGCAAGTGGGACGTGCCACACAGGGGAGCGGAAGGAGGGGAACGCTCAGAGTGCCAGCCAGCCAGCCATGCCCTCCTCCAACTAACCCCATTCCTCTCTTCACAATACTCTGTCCCTTCCCCCTCCAATCAATCAACATTGTCATAAACAAATTTAACAAATTTGTCATAAGCAAATTTTAAACCAGTTCACACTGTATGCTTTTCAAGCTATCACTTCATTTGAATGTAGCAAGAGAGAAGAAATGAATTAGGAAACCACTCAAGGAAGCCCTGTTTAGGGAAGTTTTTAATGTTTGATGTTCTATTGTGCTTTTAATTCTGTTGGGAGCCGCCCAGAGTGGCTGGGGAAACCCAGCCAGATGGGCAGGGTATAAATAAATAATAATAATTTATTATTATTATTATTATTACTACTACTACTACTTCTACTACTACTCCTCAGGCACTGGAAACAGCAAATTAACAAGGAGACTCAGTGTTCACGTTAGGTATTAAATTTCCCCCATCTTGTTCAAAAGTCAACCAACTGGCCACAATGCAAAATTTCCACTACTAACAAAACATGCAACATTTACCTGCACTTGTCTCTGAATATGGTTTCTGGCAAAAAGTACGGTGCTTCCAGAGTTCTGGTTTCAATGACCTAAAAAGCACCAAAAAATAAAATTAAGCCATCCACAGAACAAAATTTGAATTGCAGAGACAGATTCTCTCTGCAGGGAGATCATGAACAGTTCACAAAAATCTGATTTTGCTGGATGCACTGGAAGACTCACAGGTTACAGGACCATCAACAAGCAGGATCATGATCCTTCAGGGGGAAGAAAAATAATCAAACATGCAAATTTGTCAAGGTTCAATTTTCAATTTGCTGGTTGAACAGCTTGATGGCCTTTCTTCCCTGTGAAAGATTTAAAAGGAGGTTTGATCAGGTGAGAATCTAAAGAGAAAGACAGAAAGGTGCTGAGGTGTCTGCTGACAGTAAGGGGGGAAATTGTTAAGAGACTAAGGGAGCAGGCAAGCCTCTAATGGGATTGTCACTTGATGGGGCGAACTCTCTTACAGAGCTTTATTCAGTATTATGAAGGGGCTGCATTATGCAGCAAGCAAATTAATATTCGTTCATTCAAAATATCTATATACAGTGGAACCTTGGGTTACATATGCTTCAGGTTACATACGCTTCAGGTTACAGACTCCACTAACCCAGAAATAGTACCTCAGGTTAAGAACTTTGCTTCAGGATGAGAACAGAAATCGTGCAGCGGCGGCACAGCGGTGGCAGCAGGAGGCCCCATTAGCTAAAGTGGTGCTTCAGGTTAAGAACAGTTTCAGGTTAAGAAGAGACCTCCGGAACGAATTAAATTCTTAACCTGGGGTACCACTGTACTTCCTGTCCATCAGATTAATTCCAGGGAAGTTCACACAATTAAAACTCCAAAGAACAAGAAAAGCCACACATTCTGCTGCCCCTTTCTCCCAGAAACAAGACGACCCCCAAGATCACGGAAACTGGTCACCCCTGGGTAGGAAGACGGAAGGAAGGCACAACTGCGCACCTTGCTGATGTGCTGGCAGAAGGCAGGCACTGCGATCATCTGACTCAGGAAGTTGAGGTACGCGGCGACCAGCGCCATGATGCTGCAGCGGTGAGACATTGGCAGGTTATCCTCGTTCAGGATGGCAGTATCCTTTAAGGTGGGGGGAAGGAGAGGGAGAACATTGAAAGGCACCGACACACCTGCTTGAAGACATTTCTGGATCGTGCACAACTCGTGTTTCCAGCCAAAGTACACCCCCCTGGGATTTTAGAAGACATCTGAAGTCAGCGCTGTTCAGGGAAGTTTTTAATGTGTGGTGTTTTAATGTATTTTTAATCTTTGTTGGAAGCCGCCCAGAGTGGCTGGAGAAACCCAGCCAGATGGGCAGGGTACAAATAATAATAATTATTTGTACCTCGCCCATCTGGATGGGTTTATTATTTGTACCCCGCCCATCCAGCTGGTAATTTATTTTTATTTTTTTATTACATACGCTTCAGGTTACATATACTTCAGGCTACAGACTCCACTAACCCGGAAATAGTGCTTCAGGTTAAGAACTTTGCTTCAGGATGAGAATGGAAATTGTGCTCCGGCGGTGCGGCGGCGGCAGGAGGCCCCATTCGCTAAAGTGGTGCTTCAGGTTAAGAACAGTTTCAGACCTCCGGAACGAATTAAGTATTTAACCTGAGGTACCACTGTATTAGTATTATTATTATTATTATTATTATTATTATTATTATTATTATTATTATCTCCTCTTCCTGCTGCACATACCTGCAAGGCAATGGCCAGGCGGATGAGGTCAGTCACCACCTCTTCGTTGGCGAGTTCAATCGTTATCAGAGCAAGAGACGTGTAGAGCAGCTCAAAGTTCTTATGCACGTTGTCGACTTCTTTGCAGCCCATGTAAACGTGCCTGTACAGCTGCTGGCCGTGCTGCGAAGGAGAGGGAAATCTCAGGAAACGCAGCAGGTAGAGAGGATTTTTCGAAGGTAAGAGCAAATCAGTGGAGAATGACAACGTGTTTTAAGGGATGCAGAAGGAACTCAGCAAAGGAAAATATTCCAACTTCTTGCAATTACCTTCTTCATGAAGCTCACATCTTGCCGCGAAATTTTGTCTCGCTTTATCTTCAGATCAGACACATCAGGTATTATTCTAGATATGGAACAAATACACCATTCTTAATTTCAAAAAAACATATTATCATCATTGTGTGCTGAGAGGAAGATGCAAGTTATAATTCCCCCTATCTTTTCCAAGTTTGTGTTCAGTTCCAGAGAATTCACAATTTATCATCATCAACTTATTATTTCCATTCTTACCTGCTCTGAACCACAAGGACCCAGGACAGGTTACAGCAATTTAAATTTTAATATTAAAAACAGTTTAAAACAAATTATAGTCACGGGAATAGGGTGGGTCATGAAGAACTCTGGTCAGCTCTCTTTTGTCACATACTCAAGTGTTCATTTTTAAAAATACCTATATGAAAAATTCTGGCACAACTGCAGAATTTGTCCTCTTCAAAGGAAGAATCCAGAAGAAACTATGTTTACCAAAAGCAATACAGAATAGAACACAGATTGCTAATACAATGTGACACTTAGTGAGATTGCATGCATTTATGTTGCCGCTAATATTATTATTATTATTATTATTATTATTAGGTAAAGGTAAAGGGACCCTGACCGTTAGGTCCAGTCGTGGCCGACTCTGGGGTTGCGGCGCTCATCTCGCTCTATAAGCCAAGGGAGCCGGCGTTTGTCCACAGACAGCTTCCGGGTCATGTGGCCAGCATGACTAAGCCGCTTCTGGCGAACCAGAGCAGCACACGGAAACGCCGTTTACCTTCCCGCCGGAGCGGTACCTATTTATCTACTTGCACTTTGATGTGCTTTCGAACTGCTAGGTTGGCAGGAGCAGGGACCGAGTAACGGGAGCTCACCCTGTCACAGGGATTCAAACCGCTGACCTTCTGATCAGCAAGTCCTAGGCTCTGTGGTTTAACCCACCGCGCCACCCGCACCATTTATTATTATTTTATTATTATTTTATTACTATTTTATTATTATTATTATTAGTCCCCTTAAACCAACAATGTCTCAAAGTGACTTATAATTCAAAAACAAAAATGCACAGAAGTTAAAACAAGAACCACAAAAGTAGTGTCATAAGAGAGTCAGGGTCAGAGAGGGGAATAAAGGTAAAATGATCCTAACGATATCGTCCTACCCAAAGTCCCACAATAATAATAAACTGTGCCTTAAAGAACGCATTGTTGGGAAGATGCCATCTTACTGTGTCTCTTCACGTATCATTGAATGTAATATAATGTGTGCTTTTTAATGCATCATCTTAACATAACGTGCCTGTTGCCATTCCTGTGTACCTCTTTCTCCATGAAGCTATCCTTTTAAAAAGTATTGAATGTATCCAAAATGTAGTTTGCTGTACTTTTCTGAATGTATCCAAAATGTAGTTTTAAAATAATGTAACAATCTAAATATTTCAAAATGTATATACTTGACTCAATATTGTATCCAAAAGGCTGCCAAAACTCAATCCACCACACTGCCTCCTACTGGGTCTGCAAACCATACCATGAATACACACAGATATGAGCTCGAAATAAAGCAATCCTATTTTCCAAAAGGTATGCAAACATCAGGCTATCACCCGAATTGATAGCAATGCAGAATAGGATTTCACATTAACATTTAAGTCATTTCCTGAACATCTTCTCAAACATCCAGCCTCACACCTGCATGCTGATTATCAACAGTTGCGGAGGTTTTCCTGTAGATAAAGGAAAAGCCATTTGAAGCAGATCCAAAATTAAATAACATGAAGATCGACACATACCACCTGAGCCCTTTAGCAAATTGACACCTCCAGAAAGTCTTCAACATCCTGCTTACCTTATGTTAATCCACTCTTCACACCCCTCATATCGCTTCCCCCCACCTCCTTGCTATTGATCTGAATGAAAATCAAAAGGTATAAGAATCAAGGCAGTCCCTTTGTTCGGGGTCTCTGACTCCGTGTCATTGCGTGAGCGGGGACCCTGTTGCAACAGTTTTTTGTGTTGTTGGTTTGTTTTTTCCCCCTGTTCTTTCAATAAAGATCAGGCTTTGCTTTTTCCAATCCTGGTGTGGTCTCTGTCTCTTCCCGACCGGTACAGAGCCTTCATTTGCGCTCCTTCCAGGGCCCTGGTCCTTCTTCTGAGGAGGGGGCCCCTTGGGGAGGCAATCAAAATTTATTACATTTTGGCGAGCCAGCCAGGAGCCGGTTACCCGGGATTTTTGGGGTGTCAGGGACTGAAAGCCCAAGCGCACCCAGCCGTTTGCAAGGGGGGCTTTTCTTTCCCTGGTAAACCTTGAGTCCCGGCTCTAACTGGGATCCTCAACAGGACCAACCAGGAAAAAGCAACGGTGATCTAGCCGGCTGTTTGGGGGGGTTGTTTCCTTCTGACTGTTTCTCTCCCCGATATTCCTGTCATCTCAAAATTGGAAGCTTCCTGAAGGACGAGAGACACCGCGCTTGCGAAGTGAGTATAAGCAGGGAAACGGGTAGTGGGGGTGGGATTCTGCAAACCACAGCAACCTATACTTCTCAAATCCTTACTTCTTTCCTCACTTTAACTCTTGAAAAAATTGCCTTCTCCTCCTTTCTGTCCCCTTGATCTCAACACCAGCCTTAGCCCTTCGGAGTATGCCCAGGCAAGGGTTGTGTGTGACTTCTTTCACTTAATTCTTTATGCCGACCTATTCCTTCGGAGTTTTGCCCAGAAAGGTTGTGCATTTCTTCTGCACTGAAAACTATAATTCCCAAGACTATAACTCCCAGCGCAGCCGCACCTCTGCCATGGCGATCTTTGTTAGAAATGACCTGTGAACAGAGAACGCAAGGGCGCTGAATTCCTTTCCATCTTTCATATTCCAGAGTCTCAATCTGGCACTGCAAGTGTGCAAGCGTTCAGTAGGGACTCTGAGTTAGATTGTAAAAGGCAGGGAGGTTGCTTGTGGGTTGTAGAATAGAGATTTGTCCAGGTATCCCCAGGTTTTTCCCCTCGGAGATTTGTCCAGGTATCCCCAGGTTTTTCCCCTCGGAGATTTGTCCAGGTATCCCCAGGTTTTTCCCCTCGGAGATTTGTCCAGGTATCCCCAGGTTTTTCCCCTCGGAGATTTGTCCAGGTATCCCCAGGTTTTTTCTCCCTCGGAGCTTTGTCCAGGTTTCCCTTATTTCGGACCCTTCGGAAGATTGCCCAGGTCCAACCCCTTCCACTTGAGAAAATGGGTGCACCCTTGTCAAAAGGCAATAGTCCTCAGACCCCTGGCGAGAAGGAAAGCCCAATCGGCGCTTACTTCCCGCCTGGACTCTGACAGTCCACTTAATTATGTACTAAAACCTGGGAAGAATTGCCAGGTACTGGAACCCTTTGCAGATCCAAATTGGTGAAGCACTGCACCAAAAATTGGGTGCGGGCTACCACAAGATACCCTTACGAAATAAGGTGGGTGAAGGAAGGATCATTTAACATCCAGCGCCTTGCTGCTCTACGCACTGCCCTGGAAGATCAGTATCCCCTTCAGATCCGATATCTTGAGCTATTCGAATGCTCCCGAGAGAAATTAAGAGCTGGAAGTGTCATGTCCCGGCAGATGCCCATTCTAACAACCCAGAAGAAGCCCCCTCCCTATCAAGACGTTATAGAAGACGATCCCAGTCCTCTAGTTTTATTTCCAAGGCAGCAACCTATCACTGGCTTTCCCCCACCACCTGAGAATGAGCTTAGGCTTTCCACTTTGTCTGGGACTTCAACCCCCGCCAGCCTTCCCAGTGCAGAAAACAATGGTCCACAAGCGCTAGACCTCCAGCAGACTGACATCAGTAGAGCCTCAACTACAAATACCACGCCATCCATGCCCGAATTAAAGCAAATCGACGTTAATAGAACCTTGACTAACAGTTCCACCCCTCCCATGCCAGATTTAAACCCAAGCCCAGTAGCAAATCGGACTCGTAGCAAACTCCATGATGAAGAATTAGTGTCCCAACTACTTACTGCATTAGAAGTTGTTGCTAATTCAAAAAGGGAACAAAACCTTAATGATTCAACAAAGGACTCTGAGATTACAGGGAAGGGACAGTATCCCCTTAGATCCGTTCCGCTGGCCCCAGCAACCGCGGAAGGACCTACCACGTTTGTGTATTCCCACGTTCCCTTTCTTACATCTGATCTAATGAACTGGTCAAATCAAATGACCACCTTAAAGGAAGATCCAGATCGATGCTATCGTCAAATATCTACTATTTTTTCAACCCACAACCCTTCATGGGCTGATGTTCACATGCTCCTAAACGCTCTCTTCAATGACCCAGAAAGAGAGGAAATATTTAATAAGGCAGCAGAAGCATTAGGAAAACCCCAATTCCAAGACAAAAAACCCGCCAACGCTGAACTGGTAACTGTGCCTCAACTACATAATGACCCAAGTTGGGACTATAACACAGAACAAGGAATCTGGAGCTTAAAAATCTTCCGGAAAGCCATACTGGAAGGCATAAAATTAGCGGGGAAAAGGGCATAAATTGGACAAAAATCCAAGCCATCAGTCAAGGGTCAGACGAAACCCCTTCTGCCTTTTACACCAGACTAATATCAGCTTTCAGGACTTGGGGAGGAATAGACCCTGACAATCCTGAGAATCAAATCATCGTAAAAAGTTTTTTCAAGGACCAATCAAACCCAGATATAAAGAAGGTTCTCAACCTCCAATTAGGCTATGAAGGAAAGCCAATGTCCGAAATCTTAGCTATTGCAAAGACAGTTTTCGACGGAAGAGATGAAAGAAGGAAAAAGGAAGAAATAAGAGAAAGGGAGGAGAAAGCTAGAGTCTTAGCTCTGGCCCTCAGGGCACCCTACAGCTCCCAGCCTCTAAGCCCACCTTACAGAACCCCTCAGAACTCTCATAAACCTCAAATGAATCACCCCTATCAAAACTCTCAAAGACCCCAGCTGAACCATCCCTATCCTCAGACTGGTCTCCGAGGACCTCGACAAAATAATAACCCACTCGCTCAAATGAACCCACCACAGAATTCCTGTAATAGACCCGCTGTCCTGAAATGTTTCCACTGCCAGCAGGAGGGAC